CCCCCTCTTTCGTCGACCCTCCACCCTACCAAGCATGACATCCTTCTCCAGGGAATGGTCCCTTCTTACAACATGACCAAAAAACTGGACCTGTAGGCAGCATTATAATAAATGGAGAAAAGATTGAAATTGTCAAAGACTTCACATTGCTTGGTTCTATGGTCAACGCCAATGGAAGCAGCAGTCAGGACATCAGATGACATATAGCACTGGGCAAATTGGCTACAAAGGACCTCTTTCAAGTGCTGAAGAGCAAAGATGTCTCCTTGAGGACTAGGGTGCACATGACACAAGCCATGGTATTTTCAATTGCCTCATATGCATGTGAGAACTGGACAATGAATAACGAAGACCAAAGAAGAATTGATACTTCTGAGCTGTGGTGTTGGTGAAGAATGATCAAAGTACCATGGACTGCTAAAAGAACTAACAGGTCTGTCCTGGAGGAAGTGCAGCCAGAATGCTCCTTGGAGGTGAGAATGGACAGACTTCATCTCACATACTTCGGTTTTGTTGTCAGACGGGACCATTCCCTGGAGAAGGATGTCATGCTTGGTGAGGTGGAGGGTCAATGAAAGAAGGGAAGACCCATGACAAGATGGATTGACACAGTGGCAGTGGCAGTGGGCTCAGGGATGGCAAGAATCATGGAGCTGGCTCAGGACCAGGTGGTATTTTATTCTGCTGTGCATAGGGTTGCTGTGAGTCAGAGACAACTCGATGGCACCTAACAACAACAGATTTAGGAGGGATATAATCAAGATTGTATTTTGACTCTCATCGACTTCTTTTAATTGTCTTCAGCTTCAACTTGAATTTGCATGTGAGCAGTTGATGGTTTGTTCCACAGTCAGTTCCTGGCCTTGTTTTTATTTATTTATTTACTTATTTATTATTGTGTTTTAGGTGCAAGTTTACAGAGCAGAGTTTGTTTTACATTCAACATTATATGTACATTTAGTTTCACTCCACATTTAGCATCCTCATCCCTAACCCAATCTCCTTCTCTACCTGCCCAGTAACTCCCCTCCCCCCGTACCCCTCATAGTTATGCACTCCTGTGTATCTTGCATTTCCTTGTGCAAATATTGCCCCTCTGGTGCCCTGTGGTCAGTTGCTTCAAGGGATGCATTTCCACAGAGTATGTGGTATATCACTCTGGGTTGAATGGTCTGCGTGTACGTCTTGTTTACCCTTGGGCTGAGAGCCAGCCCCTGGGAGTGAGTTTTATTCCAGGCCCCGAATGTATCCCAGGGCCATAGTATTGGGGTCTCACCAGATTCCATCTGCCTGGTAATTCTGGTCATTGTTGAGTTTTTGGATTTTGTTCCACGTTTTTCCTCCCACTCTATCCAGAATCTCCAGTTTTGCTCCTTTCCTGTCCTGGCCTTGTTTTGGCTGAAGATATTGAGCTTCTCCATCGCCTCTTGCAACATTACATTACATTATCAGATGTAATCAGTTTGATTCCTGTGTACTCCATCTGGCATAGTTCACATGCATAGCCACTGTTTGTGTTGTTGAAAAATGGTATTGGCAATGAATAAGTCATTGGTCTTGCAAAATTGTGTCATGCAATCTTCAGAATTATTTCTATCACCAAGCCCATATTTTCCAACTACCAGTGATTTTTCTTTACTTCCAACTTTTGCATTCCAGTCACCAGTGATAATTAACACATCTTGATTGGATGTTCAGTAAATTTCAGACTACAGAAGTTGGTAAAAATCTTTAGCTTCCTCATCTTTGGCTTTGGTGGTTGGTGCATAAATTTGAATAACAGTGGTATTAACTGGTCTTCCTTGTAGGCATATGGATATTATCCTATCACTGACAGCATTGTACTTCAGGATAGACCTTGATACAGTCTTTTTAATGATGAATGCCAGGGCATTCTTCAATTTGTCATTCCCGGCATAGTAGATCATATGGTTATCTGATTCAAAATGGCCAAAACCATAGTCCATTTCAGCTCACTAATGCTAGGATATTGATCTTTATGTGTTCTATTTCATTTTTGACAACTTCCAATTTTCTTAGATTGATACTTCATACGTTTCATGTTCTGATTATTTATGGATGTTTGCAGCTGTTTCTTCTCATCTTGAGACATCCACATCAGCAATGGGGGTCCCAAAAGCTTTATTCTCTCCACATTATTAGGGTTGTTTCTACTCTGAGGAGGTAGCTCTTCTTTAGTTGTATTGTGAGTGCCTTCCGACATGAGGAAAAGAAAAATTGGAGGATGAGCAATATTGTAAACTTTCATACTTTTCACTTATATTTACCATATATTAACATCTTGCCACACCTGTACGCCCTCTTACTGACACACACACACATTCCCTCCTCACTTCTGTTTTGTGAAATCATCTGAAAATAGGCTGTAGACTTCATGATGACAACTTCATCCTTGTATCTCCCAAGAGCAAAGACAGTCTCCTATATACCTTCAGGTCTATTATATAGGCATAAAACATTAATTTAGGAATATTACGGACCATATGGCCCATATTCCAGTTTTTCCACTTTCCAAAATATCCTTTATAGTTGTTTATTTTTGATCCAGGAACCAGAGTTCACACTTTATATATGGTTATTGTGTCTCTCTAATTTCCTCCATTCTAGGACAATTTTACTGCCTCTTTTTTTTGTGTGTGTGTGTGACACTGAAATCTTGGTAGAGTTCAGGTCACTTGTTTACAGGACAAGTAGGTGCATACTCTGTATTCATTTGTTTCTTGGGGATTAGATTTAGGTAAAAAATTTCCAGAAGGAACACAAGTGATATTTTGTAACCTTCCATTGCTTCACATCAGGCCATCCTGATATTGATCACTTGGTGAAAGTGGTAACTACCACATCTTTACAGGTACATTTTCCCTTTTGTAACTAATAGTAATATTTAGTATGATACTTTGAAACCATTTGAGTTTCTTATTCCCCCAAAACATTTGCAGAATGATTTTAATATCCATTCACTAATGGATCAGTTATTACATGAATCAGTTATTAAATTGGGAATTACAGTATGATTTTTCTGATTTTGTTATGCCATCTCTATTAATGGTATGTCATTTTTCTATCAAGAAGATTGCTCTCATCCCCTTTTTGAGGTATTACTATGGACAAATACATTTTTTAAAATTCAGTGCGTTATAATTCCTTACTATCATTATTCCCTGCATACAGAAAGTGCATAGGTCATGTAAGTGTACAGTTTGATTAATTATCACAAAGTAATCACTACTGCCTAACCATTATTAAGATTATGAATGAAAGGTGGGCAGCGTACATTCTTTTTTTTTTTTTTATTAGGATTTGGGTGAAGATTTACAGAGTAAATTCACTTTTCATACAGCAGTTCACATATACTTTGTCTCATGTCATTGACCAAAATTTACAATGCAGCAGCTCCCCTCCCACTTCCTCCCCATACTCAGCATTATTTTTGTTTTATTTATTAAAAAAAGCACTGCCATCGAATTGAATCTGACTCACAGAGAACCCTTCTTGGATTTCTGAGGTGGTATCACTACGGAAGTAGATTGCCCAGTCTTCCTTCCGAGGAGTGGCTGGTGGGTTTGAACTGCCAGCCTTTTGGTTAGCAGTCAGATGCCTTAGGTACTATGCCACCAGAACTCCTTTATCTATAATAGTCATTATAATTTCTGAATAGTATCTTTATTTGAATCTACCACAGTCTATTTATCCATTCTACTATTGATAGATATCTGGGTTGTTTGTAGTTTTTGACTATTGTAAGCAGAGGTGCTATGAACATTCCTGTACATGTCTTTTGGGATCAGAAGCCAGACATGGGATTGTTTGTGGCAAAGGATTTTGGCAGTGTTAACTCGTGATGTTTTTATTTAGGCAAAGCCAGAATTGCTGCTTCTAATACCTAGAATCTTCTCTAAGCTTCTCTTATAAAATATTAAGATCATATTTTGGGATTGTATTTGAGAACAGTAATATATTATTCACTGTCATACAGATAACACATCTGTATGCCACTTATCAAGGCAACCTTTGATCACTTAATCCCAAAACAATAACATTTATTCTGTCTACTCCAAATATACAGATTTCTAGTTTAATTGACTATGGGGATATATGTAAACTCATATGACTATAAATGGAGTATAGCCACATAGAAATTCTCTTTTTTGACTGTAGAATTTTATTAATCAGATACAACCTTTGCCATATCTGTGACCTTAGGAGATATACTTCATGTAACTAAATAAAATTTACTTAAATACACATACGCATAGATAAGTAGATAGACACTACGTTTGGAAATGATTTAGTTTAATAAGAATTTTTAAAAAAATCACTTTTTCAAGGGTGTTTCCAGTAAGTGGGAACTAATTATAAATAGTGGTACTTGTAATCAGCTGTTTAATAGACATCTACAGCACCACTGGGTGCTGAGTTTAAAAAACATGTAAAATTTTCCCCTATAAGAAAGAAGCAGAGAAAGCAAAGGTAGATGAAGAAAGCAAAAATAAAATTTTATTCAGCTCACTGATTTTTACATACTTCTTTTTTCCTTCTTTCTTTTTTCAGTAGTGGCCACAGAGGAAGTAGTTACTGCAGAATCTGTGGATGGTGCAATTCAACAAGTAGTTAGTTCAGGGGGTCAGCAAGTCATCACAATAGTTACAGATGGAATTCAGCTTGGAAATTTGCACTCCATCCCAACCAGTGGAATAGGTCAGCCCATCATTGTGACCATGCCAGATGGACAACAAGGTTAGTAGAAGACATTTATATAAAGTTTATTTTCAGTTTTTACTTATATACACTAAAGTAGGAAATTGTGATGTTTTAAAAAAAATCTTTTTTTGCCTTATATTACTGTGCAACAGACTTAATTATCTACTTTTATTTTGCTGATGCTAATATTAAAATTAACTTACTGTCTCTGAATATACACTAGGTGGAGAGAAGAACTGGCCACAAGTATTCTGATTGAAAAATAGGATTAAATATTGCCATAAGTAATAAACAAAATAAATAATTCAAAATCATCATTGGGCAATAGTTTCTTAGACCATTTTATGCAATTCGGATACCTCCTGGGCCTTTTAAAATGCCATAAGAAAAAGCTACTTAAAGAGAACTTGGACTTAGAAGCTCTAATAGGAATACTTTTAGCAGTTTTTTTTTTCCTCTTTGGAATTTTCCTGCTTTTTTCCTCCTAGAAACTTTACAGGGTAACTAAAATGGATGAAACAAAAGTCCCAAATATTTCTTCAGTGAATTCGAAAGACTGAGAAAACCTTAAAATTCCACATTTCAAGTGCTGGCCAAAGCATCTAAGACCATTATAACCAGGACAAGAAGACTGTTATGGAAACCCATGATGGTACATGTCAAGGAAGGAAAAACATTAAGCTAAAAAATCACCAACAGATACATACTCCCAGCAAGAAAAGGCCCTACCTTGAGTAATAACTGATGCAAACAGGGCTAAGATAGTCTTGGGCAAGAATACCGGGTCAGGCAGAGAGAGATGTGCAGAACATGCCTATCTGAGCACACACCAACCCTTTCTACCCACCCCAAAAGTGTATGCACACAACCCTTTAGAAAATGACTAGGATTCCAGACACTGTGTCCCTTTGTGCTGTTAAAGAGATCCAGGAAGGGAAGGGATAGAGATAGAAGCTCGTCTATCTGGAGATAGAAATTAAGTTTTGGGAGATGGAGGAGATACAACACTAGAGAGACATCACGTTTCAAGAAGAGTTTGTTGCTATAGCAATAGAGGAGGAAGTCCTTGACTTGTGACACCTGGGAGACCTTTTGCCTCTGCTCTGCAGAAATCTTCTCCTCATAGTGGGTCCACGATTTGAATCAAGCCCAGTGTTAACACAAAACTTTAAAGACATAGTTCCAATGGTATGGAAAAGACTTTCAAAGTATGTGTATAAAGCAAATATAGCATTGTACAGTCTTATCTCACTGATGAAAAAATGGAAAGAAACCCATTTGGATGGGAAGACTCAATGTCATAAAGTTCTCAGTTCTTCCTGAATGAGCAGACTGATTCTGAATTTTATATTGATGGGAAGGGGGAAAGGTTAGAAGAAGAACAAGGAGAACTCTGAAAATGAAGAGCAATGAGGGCTGTGGAGCAGTTTTATTCTGTAACACATGGGTTTGCCATGAGTCAGGGGCTGACTTGACAATAGCAGCTGATATGTGAATATACAGAATATACAGACAGTACAATGAAATGCATGCAAAGTGCAGAAATAAGCTAAAATACATATAGAAGTATAGAATATAATAAAGATGCTATCTCAAATCACTGGAAAAAAGATAGTCTTCTTAATAAATGGTATTGGGGCAATAAGATAGACTCCACACCTTATACTGTACATGCAGATAAAAATCCAAAGATTTAAATATTAAACTGAAAGTGTTAGAAGAAAAACATGGACAAACTCTTGTATAACCTTCGAATGAGGATGGCCTTTCTAACCATGGTCCATAAATTCAGAAAACATAAAAGCTTGATAAATTTAGCCACGTAAAAATCAAAACCTTCTGTATGGTATAAAATACCATAAGCAATTTCAGAAAATGAAAACAGAAAAGATACTTGAAATCTAGGCAAAGGACTAATCTCCCCAGTTTAAAATATGCATATACATATACACACACAGAAAGTAAATCCTCACTTTGCACAGTTCCAGTATGCACAAATTTCAGTTTCCACATGTGGCGGTTATGTTTTTATGTCAACTTGGCTGGGCCTGGTTGAGTGGGCAGCTGGTGGTAGTTACTCCCCATGATGAGACTGGCAGTCAACTCCATGGTGGGATCTACCACAAGCAGCTGAGTAGCTGCTTTGGGTTTGTGGTCTGCATTCCGTATATAAGAAGCAGCTTTGGGAATGGTCTCTATCCTATGACATGCTTGGACCCTGCATGTAGCAGTGTCGTCATTCAGCAGCCTGCTGTGCTCTGCCAACCTTGGGACTTACAATGGACTTGAGTTGATGGCCTGCCGTGTGGTTTGGTAACATTGGGACTGTGCCTTTTTACTTGTCAACCTTGGGCTTGGCAGCCTCAGCAGCCAGCAGCTGTCTGAGTGAAGAAAAGCCTCTAGCTTCAGTGAGCTGAGAGCTGGAGCAGAGCTGAAGGCCAAGGCTGAGGGGCTTTCACCCTGCCCCTAGAGCCTGGCACTTTGAACTTGTACTTAAAGCCTCCAAACTGTAAGAGAATAAACTCCTGTTTGTTAAGGCCATCCTATTTGTGGTATGTTCTTGTCAGAGCGGCACTAGGTAACCAGAACACCACAATTTGTTAAAATAATATCAGTCTTGTAGCAACATGGGTCAAATTTCACCTACCATGGTATATTAACTGTGAGAATTATATAAAACACAAACTTCCTTGACAGGTCTTCAGCTCACAAATCACTATGTAAATCACTGATGTGCATCCTGATTAATAACTAATCACATCACTTTTTCAAAGTCTGTCTGTGATAGCTCACTATTGATCCACAGACAGCAAAGCATGGAGCAAAGCATGGAGTTGTGTTACTTCCTTGCCTCCTAGTGATAAACCAATGTGACATTTTGTAAAAATGGATCAACAAAAGAGGAATTGGCCAACAAAGGTGAAAAGACAAAGAAACAAAAAGTGATAATGCTTGAAGTAAAATATTAATCCAACATAAATAAAGGTAATACAAGAAATAGCTGAGGATAGGAATGTTTTCACGACTGCCATTTAAAAGACTAATAAGCAGCCAGAGGAGCTGAGTGCAAGTGAACTTACTGACATAAATGAAGAAGGGGGGGTTAAGATGAAAAGGATGAACACATCCCAGAAATGATGCCAGCAAAAAAAGCTTAGCATTAAAGGAGCCTTCAGAGATAATTCACAGCATTGAAAATGCAAAGGATTAAATATTGGAAGCTGGTCCAGAGTTAAAAAGGAGTATGGCAGTTTGCTAAGCATAGAAAAGATGCTTACTCAGTATTGTGAGTTATACGAAGAGAAGGCAAGACTGTTCCAACTACTCTTGATAAGTTTTCTATTAAAAAACAAAAGCACTTTAATTCTCAATCTTTCTAATGTTTTAAATAATAGTGTGCTAAATAAATACTAGTTTTGCCATGTTTTTCATTTCTGTATACATTTATAACTTAGAATAGAGATATTTTAATGTTTTTGGCAAAAAATTTAAAGGTCATGGAACAATTGTAATTTTCCCCATTGATTATTAGTAAGATTGCTTTATATGATTTTGGCTTGCCTGGTCATTTTTACGTGCAAAATGAGTACATACATCTATGTGTTCATTTTATGTTACATTTATATAAAAAATTACTGAAAATTGAGACAAAGTCTAAAACTCACTAAAAGAGCCAGCAAAGATTATGAATAGAGAGTCCACAAAATGTGCATGGTATTTCCACACAATGGAATATTCTACAACTGAAGAAAGGGCAGTTTTCTGTGTGTTGATACAGAAAGATTCCCTAGATATATGAAGTGAAAAAAGCAAGATGCATATATATATATGTATGTAGGAGCTCTGGTAGCATAGTGCCTAAGGCACTTGACTGCTAACCAGAAGGCTGGCGGTTCAAACCCACCAGCCACTCCTCGGAAGGAAGATGGGGCAATCTACTTCTGTAGTGATACTGCCTGGGAAACCCAAGGAGGGGTCGCTGTGAGTCAGGTCTGACTTGAAGGCACATAACAACAACAACAACAACAATGTATGTGTGTGTGTATACACACACACACACACACTACCTTTTGTTTACAAAAGGGAGAAAAATGTATATTCATGTTTGCTTTTGCATGAATAAGCACAAGACCTAACAAGGAACTAATAAAAAATGGTTATCTGTTAGCAGGGTTGGAAGTAAGACCTCTCAAAGTATGCTTGTTAAATCTGTTTTGATTTTTGCACCATATAAATGAATATATTATCTCTTAAAATTAAAAGTAAGTACATACTTTCAGTAATAAGCAGATTCCTATAAGAAAGCAAGAAGGTGAAAAAGATAAATATAGATATTCTCACAAAAAGCAAATCAGTGTTTTGAAATTATTGTTTTAGAATATGTTTACTTTAGTTCAGTTGTGTCAGCAAAGTCAGGACTAGTTTTATTTCTACTAAAGCGATCTGAAATGAAGTAATGTATTTTTTCATTTTAGTATTAACAGTACCAGCAACCGACATTGCTGAAGAAACTGTTATAAGTGAAGAGCCACCAGCTAAGAGACAATGTATCGAAATAATTGAAAACCGGGTGGAATCTGCAGAAATAGAAGTAAGGAGTCTTTTACCCGGTGTGTTTTGCCGCAGTCATCAAAAATAAATTCAGTTCCCTTTTTTTATTTTTATTTTTTTGTCTTTTATATTTATTACTGAAAGTGTTGTTTTGGTACAGAATGAAGGTACATAGTATTATCATTTTGTCTGTTTTTTTGCCTTATACATATAGCAAGCCCTCAATAAATAAATATTGAATGAATGAATGAATGAGTGAAGAATTTGTTTGTAACAAAGTCTGTCATTGTGTTAACATTGGAATGTCTTTGATTCTTGCACTCCATCCTTTATTTTCTGTTAAGCTCACATGTATCCATTCTCACAAATCACCAAAAGAAAATGCTACAATATATGACTACAACATTTTTTCCTTTCAAAAATGAAATAGAATTGCCACATTGGACTAGGGGATCTTCTTAAAGAAAGTTGACATTTGTCAAATGGGTTATTTTTTTAATAAGTGGCAGATACTTGGTTATTTCACTATTACATCCTTTAAGGATATTAAATTAATTTAGACTAGCTGTTAATAGGATTCAGCTTTTTTCCTCTCTCCCAAACTAGTTTGTAAGTGTAACTAAACCATAATTACCTCATAAGGTTTTTTTCTCATAGGACTGTAAATAAAATTATGTCCCCTGAATCTGGTCTCAACTTCTATAAAAGGTATACAAGGTTTTGAGCAACTGTAGTATAAATACGGAGCAGAACTTCAGTTTTATTTTCTCTGAAATTAGCATTTAGAGTAACAGTATCTACTTTTTAGGCTTTTTATGAAAATTGAAAAAATAACATACTTATATACATATTCATAGTAACTGATGAATGTTGATGAATATTTAGTAATTCTTTGTGAAAGTTCTAGTTATTATAGAAAAAGAGGTTTAAAGGCACCCTATCTTATCTAATGACAACTAGAAAATATCCTTGCCCAATTCATTTAAATATAAGACTGGTACATCTTTGGCAATAACTGCAAACTATTATTATTATTTAATAAACAAATTATTGAATTAAAAAGGATCTGATTCATGGTTTAACCAGGAAGTTTGGTAGAATTGTGTTTTAATAAAGTTATTGAAGATTGGTTGTTTTATTCCTTCAGAATTTAAAGTGATATTCATGATGTTGAAATTCTTGTTCACAGACTGATAATTTATTCCACAAAACAATTCCACAAAACTTATTATTTAATAAGTAATCTTTTCATTAGCTAATCTTTTTCTGATATGTCATAAAATCTTTTTTCAGGCATATAAATGGGGAAAAAAAGTTATGTACTTTGCTTTAACTATCTAGTAAAATACATTATTTTAAAATTGCTTGAATTTTTATTAAATAAAAGCTTATTCAACTCAACAAATTTTATTTTTAAAACAGAACGTCTGTGTAGCTCATACATTTATTTACCTAATGACCAGTGAGAGTTACTGTTTTCCTCAGTATACAGCCTGATGCCTCTCTTACAGTCTTACAGAGATCAAGGAGAAAAGTCACAAATAACAGGAAAGTGTGAATTGAGGTATATAATCAGGCCAAGGAAATGGAACTTTATGGTCATGGATATTTAGCTTGGTATAAAAAAGAGTGCTTTTGTTTTGTTTTGTTTTCAATAATTAGAGCTTTCTGGTGATGGAAATCTTATTTGCCACCTAAGGAAATGTTCAAGTCCAGGTTGCGTGACCTCTTAGGGCTATTACAGGGAGACCTTGAAGCATACAGTGAGGATAGATGGTAGAGGCAGGCTTGGGGATGTAGAATGAAGAGATGACCTCCAGTGTTTTCATCACACCAGGTAATTATTTCCTTGTATAAATGAAGTGATTCTTTTGATTTATTTTCTTCGGTGACTAATAGAGCTATCTTGGGGACAGACTTTTATGCTCCTTTCTAAGTGACAGCTTGGCCATTAACCCGAAGGTTCTCTAAAGCAATGGTGCTCACCTGGGGTGATTTTGATCCCCAGGGAATATTTGACAGTCTCTGAAGACATTCTTGGTTGTCTTGACTCGGGGAGTGCCACTGGCATTTAGTGGGGAGAGGCCAACAGTGCTGCCAAACAACCTACAATATGTAGGACAGTCCCTATAACAAAGAATTACCCAGTCTAAAAATATGAATAATGTTGAGATTGAGAAACCCTGCTCTAGAGGAATAAGAAAAATCAACTCATTTTACAAAATCTACCATGTTTGCATTTGCTCTTTGTGTGTGGCTGTAGTCACCAGAGTGACTGTAATGAAGGTACTAAGAATTTATAATAGAGTTTCCCAACTAACAATGGAGATGTTTACCAATTATCTCTCGAAAAATTAGTTTAAATTTAGAAATTTTACTTTAAATTATATGGTTTTTACATCTACATTATAGCAACATAGGAAATAGGTTTGTTTTTTGAAGGGAAAGGTCTGACACCAAATTGTCAATAATTATCATTTGATTGTCACTCCTTGGTATTACTGCATTGAAGATACTTCTGGAAATGTGTGCTATTTGCAGATTTTTTTTTCCATAAGTAAACAGCATTAACCTATTCAGAATTGAAGTGAAAACTGTTCTTTGTATATGTGGGAGGAGGAAAATGCAGTTAGTGCATTAGGAATAACAGATTTTTTCTCTATCACTTACTTGTTACATGACTTTAGGAAATACCTTGACTTTTTCATTTGCCATGGAGGTTAGAAATGAATATGTTTATTAGCAAATTCTGTTTGTTGATTTTTAATGAAGTGTTTGTGCCCTTTAACCAATGATAGATTGGGATCTTTACTGTTCTTTAAAACATTGATTTCTCTGAGCTCTTTTATGCAGTGTTTTCTTTGAAACAAAATTAATATATGCCAGTGTTTTAAATGTTTTTGTAGTCTTATCTCTTCTTGATAACTTTTTTTTTTTTTAGAGCTAGGGTAGGCAAACTTCTTCTGTAAATGGCCAGATAGTAAATATTTTTGGTTTTATGAGCCTTGCAGTTTCTTTTGCGACTCGTTAGCTCTGTCATTGTAGCAGGAAAGCTGCCATAGACACATTTATAAATGAACGGGCATCGCTCTGTCTCAGTAAAACTTTATTTATTTATTTATTTGGTTTACTCTCTTGTTTTTACAGGACCATGCTTGACCTGTGGCAGTTAGAAAATTAATGTTTACACATAAGCAAAACAGATAGCTCACACATCCTGCCCAGTTTCTCTTTTTTAAAAAAATACTTAGTCGTTAGAAATATAGGTCTGGAATTAGATTTAGGTTTGAATTTTAATTTAAAGTTTTCTAATTTTGTGACTTTGACAAGTTATTTAAGCTTCCAAGTGGCTGGCTTCCCCATTAGTAAAAATGAGAAATAACAGTACTTATAAGATCCTTGTAAAGATTAGATGAGAATGCATATGAAGGACTTGTATAATGGCTTGTTGTGCCTTCGAGTCAGACCGACTCATAGCAACCCCTCCTTGGGTTTCTGAGGCGGTATCACTACGGAAATAGATTGCCCCACTTTCCTTCTGAGGAGTGGCTGGTGAGTTTGAACCACAGCCTTTTGGTTAGCAGTCAAGTGTAATGTCTGGTATATAGTAAATGCTCAGTAAATGTTAGTCATTATTATTATCCTACAATTTATCTTGAAATATGGTAGAAGATAAATTGCTATAATGATTTTTGCTCTTATAATAAAGCAAAAGATACATGTGAGTGTTAGAAAATTATCTGTTCAAAGTGATAAAACTAGAGTTAATTGCAGCTAACTGAAATAGAATTCAAGAATCATGTTTGAAAAAAAAAAGAATCATGTTTGAAAACAGAGCAAACTCAAGTCTGTCCCTGCTTTGTTATCTTGCTGCCTAATCTAATAGTAATATAATGCTTGGGTTTGAAATTTTGGTTTAGATATTTTGATAAGTATCTTCCTTGTTGCTACCAAATCTTATTATCAGAATTTATTTTTCCTGGAATTCTTCAGTGTTAGATTATTGAGGGAAAAAGACTTTAGTATTACATAGTAGGCTAGACTATGTTTATGTTAAAATGTCAAAATTCTTTTTATTATAGTTTTGTTGCAAAAGTTTAAAGCCATCACGTTGGCATTTCTTTTTAAATATAAATCTCAAATGTCAGTCCTTTGTACTATTCATGTGTGAAACAACCAAATTACTACTTGCATTAAGAAAGTGTCTTGCGTGTAATGTATGTTCAGTAAACATTTGACAAATACATTTGGAAATAAAGGATCTCTGAGTAAAATAAGTTATATTTCCACTATTTGCTTTGAAAAGTGAGATTGCAAAGAGATTCTCTTCCCACATGACTTATACTACTGAGTAGGTAGTAAAAAATGAAAACATTTAAAAGAATTTATCATAATGTTAACCATGCTCTCAGTCTCAAGGATTAAATATACGCAAAGGGTAGACCTAATGATCTTTACCTTTTAGATTTTAAAGATTTAGCCAAAATGCATTTTAAAAAGAGTCTTATTTGGCCGAGTAGGTAGAAGGAACCTATCTTTTCATTTATATTAAAATACGTTCTACTTCTTGATATAAAAATTTACAATAAGAACAATAGAGTTAAACTGTATTTACTGTTGGACTGTTTACCTCACTCATTCTGGTCTTCTATAATAATTGTATATTCTTTGCTAGTAATATTTATAGTTCTAAATATAAGAAATAGTTAATACTAAAAGATGCTTAGAGTTAAATCTGTTCTAATATTCCTACCAAGTCAGAACAGATTTTTATTTTTATCCATATTCAAAATCTTTGTTACCAAAGAATCTTATTTCATGTCACATGTAAAATTTTAAAACATGTCTACATGTCTGTGAGAGCTTCTGCCAGAGGTGGGCTCTAGTTCAGGGGAAGCAGCATCCAGCCCCACCCATTCACTGCCCCCGCATCATTAGCATATTCAGGGCCTGCATAGTTTACTGCTGGAATTATGGGCTTCATTTGTTACAAGAGGCCAGTCTCCTGATTTCCTTTTTGACTTGTTCCTACTTTGTCATCTTGCCTGTTGTTAGGGTAAGGTAGTGAGAAGAGGGTGGCAGGGGTGAAGGGAGTCCGCAGGACTGAAGAGAGGTGGCAGGAGGGGCCTGGGCATTGCTTAAACTAGAGATGAGGGACACTCCTTTCTTCACTTGTACATTTTGTGTAATCGGAAGATTTGTGGATTACTTGTATAATCAATCACTTTTACAGCTGATGGACTCATGGGGAAAAGAAATGTCTAATGTATCTTCATTCCCAGTGTGGGAAGGGAAGGGAATCAAGGAAAGGCAGGTGGACTACATGTGCTCTTGTAGAAAATACAGATGATGAAGGGGAGGGACTCTCTTGGTGTTTGCAGTAAGCAAGTGTCAAGGAGGCAGTAAATACATAGTTGGAGACCTTTATACTCCCTCTTCCCCAGCAGGCTGCTGACCCCTCACCTTCAGTTCCCCTGTCTAGTGTGAATCTGGCCTTTCTTGTGATAAATAGTTCTTTGCCCCTACCACTTGGAAGTCCTGGACTTCTTTAATGAGGTGGCTTCACTGTGGGTGGTTCCTTTGACCTGGACCTATGCTGGTTGAGCTTTTGTTCATGGGCCCGCCAGAGGTAAGGGAAAGGGTTCTTTAAAATACTTTGCCTGAGGTAACTAAAGAGGGGGAGAGTGGGAGGAGGAAATTGCCCTTCTTACTGGACTAGATCTGTGTTTCAACTCTCGATTTATTGAGTAATACATATATTCTATACCAGTACAATCTTAATAGGTCAGAGGATAGAATTTAGATATTTTATTGGTTTTTAAATGACATAATTTAAGAAGCACTAATCTAGATGAATTCTTTTCATTTTAAAGGTGAGGAATCTTGCTTGTTATCATAGAAGAATACAGCTTTTAAAACAGTAATATCAGAACCCCCTGAACCCAGCCCCTCACTAAGTAACATTGGCAAAGCTATATCATTTTTGAGCATTATTTTTCTCAACTGTGAAATAGACATATCTAAAAGGCTTATTATTAGAAATCACCTAGTTTAGTCATATACTAGGTGCTCAATAAATATTGTTTTATAATTATTACCTTTACACAAATATTGATATGAAGAGTTAGGAATATATACTGCCCCCCCTTACAGCTCTTCACTAAAAATACAGGTAACCAATTTCAGTTCATTCTGTTAGTCTTATTTGTAATTAAGAAATAATTTCCTTAAACCCATATGCTGTCATCACTTTGTCATAGTGTGGAGCCCCAAATGAGTGGTTTAGTTGTTATGAATTGGTTGAAAAGACAGAATGTCTAGGAAACAGTAGGGGGCAGCTGCTTACAGCTACTACAGATTTTTTAATTGAAGGATACATATTTGTAATGTGTTAATAAAGTATTTGTGCAAAAATTGAAAATAAAACTTTTTTTCTAACTAGGAGAGAGAAGCTCTTCAGAAACAGCTGGATGAAGCAAATCGAGAAGCACAAAAATACCGGCAGCAGCTTCTAAAGAAAGAACAGGAAGCAGAGGCCTACAGACAGAAATTAGAAGCAATGACTCGTCTTCAGACTAATAAAGAAGCTGTTTAACTGAAATGAACATGTCGTTTGATTTTACTTTTGGTCAAGAAAGAATACAATCTTGAACTGTACACAATACAGGTACAGTCATGGGAATACAGGATAATTGAAGAGACTACAGATTGATAATTGGACTTAAGCCATGAGCTCTGAATTGTTGTAACATAAAACTTTACTCTAGAACTTGTTAAATGTATTTAAAACTGAATTCTGTAAATAGTTTTTTTTTTACAGTTCCAAATGAGAAAGATTGTTAAAGAGATTCCAAAACACAATAAGCCACTGTTTTTGTGAATTCTTTTTGATTTTAGTATTAGTATGAACCTTAATTTCTCAGAAACAGAACAGTTTTAAGGGTGATCGTTGTCGATTAGACCAAATGTGTATAATTATGTGGTGGACTGATGCTGGAATATTCCTGTAGGTATATACTTCTATATGAAGAGAAGATTTCTCCCAGGAAATCTTTATATAGCTTTAAGTTGTCTCAGATTCTCTGAAAACATTTTTTAGAAAGCAAAACTTTTATATTTGTTCAATTTCAGCTATACCCAAGTAGATTTACATGTATATGAAGCAAATATTTTTTAAACTTTCTGTTTGTACATATTTTGCATGTTTTCTAATTTCAAAAGGCATCACCTGCATAAGTATTTTCCCCACAAAGATGATGAAAGTTACTAGGGGGGGAAAAAGCCTTTTATTCTATAGGCCATTGAAATTAAGTAAGCTTGCAGCTGGTTTTATTGGAATGACAATGTCCTTGGAAGGAGCAGCTTACAAGATAACTTGACTTTGCAAAATCTATGCTTTTTTGAAAATTTCGTAGTGGGGACGTGAACCGTACTCTGTGCCTCCCATCATGGTTTCCACATGAAAGCACTTTAAGGCACTGGATTTTAAGATAATGCTTTTGGAAAACTCAACGTGTATGGGCTTCTGAAATACTTCATGGACTCACCCCCTTCCCCCAGGAAATTATTCTTATGGACAAAAATTGCTTTTGTATGTAGAACAAGAACTTTTTGTACTACAGCGATGCTATAGATGTGTCTAACGTTAACTTTTGCTTTTCTCTGTGAAAGCTGTATGTCTGTGCTGTGACCTGCTTTCATCACAAGATTGTTAAATTCCACAATGTATGGACATTAAACTCTGACATGCTGTTCATTCTTTTTTGTAAAATATAACTTCAGGCCCCTTTTTCTTTTTCTTTTTTTTTTTAAGTGTTTTATTGCTTTATGAACATGTTTATCTAACCCTAAAACCCCTCTAGGTTACCTATACTGTATAAAGAAGCAGTTACCCTTAGAACTGTGCTCTGGCCTACTTTTCTATTTTACAATTAAATATCTTTTCCACATATGTTCAGTGTAGACTTATATTTTTGACCACATCTTAATCATACCTTAAAAATTATATTCTGTGTATTTGTGCTGTATTCCACTCTATGAAAATAATATATATACTTAACACGCTGTGTCCTAAAAATCCCTGAGTCTATTTGTTGCTTAGAAACTAATTCCCTTACTTGAGTTACCAGTAGAGTTGTTAATGTAATAAAAGCATATGAACTACCAGTTACTATTTGGAAACTCAAGAAGTATTAGGGTGAATTTAAGAACTGTGTCGGGAAGAGAAAAAAACTTCAGTTTTCCAGTATATTTGACATACATTATATATTTTCTAAAAGTCCACATAGGTGGCTAATTATATCCATCTATGTGTGAACATACACCTAGAGCAGCCCTCCTGAATCAGGGTTCTGAGAGAATTAAGCTCTAACGCCCTAGCTTTTAGGGCCTAAGGCATCCCTTGTAATGAATTAACTTATTATCTCTTATGCACACAGATCTAGAATGGCATTGGTTATGTACTGTCAAGACACTGAGCTCTTCAGATGTCTCGATTGCCTCATTATTTGGTTCAGATTTAACACTTCCCGACCTACTTCAAATTTTAAGTTAGGTCTGTGATGTTTTTAAATAGCTTCATCTGATGACTGACTTGAACGGTCTTTGCAGGTGCTGTACTTCTGAACTAATCTTCATTGTTATTTATTTTATTTATATCTTACATACTTCCAGAAAGAACTTGAGATGCCATTTGTTTTCATTGGTTCTTAGGAGCTGTTCTCTTACACCTTTTTTTTTGTTTTAATGATACAAATGGCAGAGAATATGTTCTCTTACTTTGTCAGTGGATTGGTCTCTTTCTTTATGGTGGCAGTGGGTTGGGAGTTGGGGAGCTTTCTTCTGTGATATTCAAAAGAACAAAATTAGAGAAGGGAATAAATGTGACCCATACCTGTTGGTGTCTAGTTGATTTCAACTCCTAACAAGCCTATATGACGGAGTAGAACGGGCCCATAGGGTTTCCAAGGCTGTAATCTTTTGGGGAGCAGACTGCCACATCTTTCTTCCATGGAGCAGCTGGTGTGTTAGGACTGCCAAGCTTTTGGTTAGCAGCCAAGCATTTAACCACTGCCCCACCAAGGCGCCTTCAATAAATGTGAAATTCCATGTAATTAAGACTAATAGAGGGAGCTCTGGTAGCGTAGTGCCTGAGACACTTGACTGCTAACCAGCAGGCTGGCAGTTCAAACCCACCAGCCGCTCCTCGGAAGGAAGGTTGGGCAATCTATTTCCGGAGTGATACTGCCTTGGAAACCCAGGGAGGGGGCGCTATGAGTAGGGTCTTACTTGATGGCACATAACAACAAACAACAAGACTAATAGACAAGTTCTACATACATATATAGAGAACTCTGGTGGCACTGTGGTTAATGCATTGGGCTGCTAACCAAAGAGTTAGTGGTTTGAATCCACCAGACACTCTGTGAGAAAGATGCAGCTGTCTGCTTCTGTAAAGATTTACATCCTTGGAAACCCTATGAGTCATTTCTACTCAGTCCTGTAGGGTCGCTATGAGTTGGAATTGACTCAATGGCAATGGGTTTGTTTTTTGTTTTGGACATACATGTATATTTATTCAAAATGTATTGCTAATGAAAATCTCTGCCTGTACATGTTCTTCAACTAGATCATTTATGATGTGCATTGAAAATTAGAAGGAACACTTGCCCAAAACAAGAACAGATGAGCTGATAGGAATACTATAGATGCTGTAGACTGACATGACTGATTTTCACTGAAGTTCTCTGTACAAAGTTTCATGATAAAATCTATAACTTTCCTTTGTGTTTTCATGTCTGGAAAACCTTGAAAACTGCCTCAGCAACATAACATATATTAAGGAGGAAAAACCTTTCCAGCTAAAACTACAAAACATTTGTAGGAACCTTTATATCCATATGGATGGGTTCCCAAGGCATTATCTCTCAGGCTTATGTAGCAAATAATTTAAAAAAAAAAAAAAATCTTTTCTATTCACCTAGTTTCTATTGAATAAATAACTCCTTTCATCATGTCAGATCAATTTAGGAATGGATTAACTGAGAGAGTTGTTATTTTATTAAGTAATATTTACTGTACTTGGATGTCATTATAGATAACTAATCTATTGTAGTTTTGAATGATGGTTGCTATTTGCTTTCTCTGTGTTAGGTGAGAACACGTTGATTCCCATGGATTCAGTTTGACGTAAGCTCTCTGAATCTGTCTTCAGATCACTCTCTAACCTATGATGGAAAACAGTATCATCACTGGGAAAAGGTCACATACTCATTCAGTCCCAAATCAAAATGTGGATGTTGATATCCTTGTGGCAATATTATTAAGTCAAACTATTTTCCAAACATATACACTTACAAGATTTTTGATAATTGATACTCTGAGCCCATTTAAGAAGTATTCCAGTTTAATAATAATAATCAAATATTGAATATGATATGGACGTAGTTCCCAGCAGTGTTTGTGTTCTAACCCTCCGTGGACTACCATTTACTTCCTGAAAGGATTTTGACCTGGTCTCTGAGATTTTATCCACCATGCTTTATTAATTGCCTTCTTATTTTTCATTTGAATAGTTTTGATCTAATGTGCATGGTTGATATGGAATATGTTTTCTGTATATATAAATACATAGTTTTACACAATTCTTAACTACTGATTGAGTACATGAATTATAATTTTGAATCCTGTGGACTATTTAAATTTCATCTTAATCTTTCTGTAAGAGTATAATTTTCGTATATATTTTTATTTGTGTGCCAGTTGAATGTCAGTGAAGCATTTGGTTTTTTGTATTGCTGTTTTCCATAATTATTCTAGACTTGCCATCCTCATCATAACGCTCAATAATTGAATTTCAAGTTTAAATTACATTCATTTATTTTATTGATGTAGAAAAATATCATGTATTAATTAAGAAAGTCCACACTTGAATGAACTTAAAATTTAAAAAAAAAAAAAAAAAAACTGCCAAAGAACTGACTTGACTTCCAAGCATTTCTGCCCAGCATCGTAGAGGCACTTAGTATCAAACACTGAACCATATTATTAGCTGTGTTTACTACCTTGTTAGATACAATTCAGTATTTTTTAAAAGGAAAACTTGAAAACACACAAGAGTATAAAGAGATATAAACACCCATGTACCTATCTTCCAAATTTAAGAAAAGTAATTTGCCTTATTTGCTTTGAATATTTCCTCTTAAGAAACAGAATGCTACAGATAACTGTTGAAATTTTTTTTCCCTCTCTGATCCTATTACTCTCCCTTTCTGCTAAGCAACACCACTATCCTGAGGTTGAGGTGATTCCTTCTATCTGCAAGGTTACACTCTTAACTACATATTGGAGTTCATAAATACTCTGCACACACAGTATTATTTCAGCCCCACCCTCACCCTACTGGTAAAAAAGTGTGCTTGTCTTTGTCCTAAGGCAGTGTTAGTCAGCTCTATCATTAAGGTACCCTCCCCAAAGGAGCTCTTAGGCCTGATGACTCTTTGTAGAGCTGGTTCTTCTCTGGGGGAAGCTGGACTTCATTTTTCCTCCATCATGTAGCCGCTCCTAGACTGATTGCAGCTCACAACTGCACTGCATCTTTACTTATTCAAGAGCATAAATACCATTACTCTGAGCACAAAAATCCCCTACCAATATGTGGTTGAAAATGAAACCAGTTCCTTTATTCTAAGCAATCCCTTGGATGGTGTTTTAAATCCTAGTAAATCTCTCTCTTTTCCTTGGCAACAATAGAATTACTTCCTTTGCCAGGTCATACCTCCATACTTATTCAACTACGTACTTGATAACCTTGACATGCTTGAAACGGAACTCTTCATATTTCCTTCAAAAACTTCTGCAGTCATCCCCATCTGGGTAGTTGGCAACTCCATCCTTCCTATTACTTGGGCCCCAAACTTTGAAGTTATCCTTGACTTTTTTTTTTTTT